CTGTGTCTCCCTCTCTCTCTGCCCCTCCCCCGTTCATGCTCTGTCTCTCTCTGTCTCAAAAATAAATAAACGTTAAAAAAATTTTTTTTAAAGCTGGATAAAATATTCAAAGCCAGGTGAGGTGTGGGAGAGCGGCAGTGTGCATTACAGCAGCTGGGACCACAGAACGGGCGGGAAGGGGCAGAGCCCTCGGGATGGCTTCGGGGACCTGGTGGCAAAGGCCGGGGCGGGGTTGTCCAGGTCTCCGTGCACGCGGTGGGTGCCTGGGGAAGGCCAGGTGCAGAGGCTTTGGTTTTCAGCACCTTGGGGAGGAGGCTTGGGAGCTGTCGGGGCTCCCGTCCTTCCGTGGCAGTCAGACTAGCAAGCAGATGTGAAAACAAGACCGAAGTTCCATATTTGCATTTTCAGAGTTACTTCAGATCGGTGCCTGAAACTTTTAAGGACATTCAAATGTTCACCATCAGGAACGCATTGTCTTTGCTTAACAGCTTGAGCCTGCGTCCCCTGGCGAGGGGCGAGTGACGGCCACCACTCCCCGGGTGGTGCAGGCCTTCACCCGGGAGCCAGCCCGACCCATGCTGCCCACGGTCCGGAGGAGACAAGCATGTCAGCCTCAGCGAAACCCTCGGCGCTGGCAGAGCTGGCCCCTGGCCCCGAGGACCAGCCCAAGGGGAAGCCGCTCCTCGGCTGGGGCTCTCTCTTCGGCCCCCGCAGCGAAAAGATTGTTTTCAGCAGGAGCGAGGGCGCCCCCGAGGAGAACGTGCTCACCATCACCATCACGGAGACCACGGTCATCGAGTCGGACCTGGGCGTGTGGAGCTCCCGGGCTCTGCTCTACCTGACGCTGTGGTTCTTCTTCAGCTTCTGCACCCTCTTTCTCAACAAGTACATCCTGTCCCTGCTGGAAGGGGAGCCCAGCATGCTAGGTAATGCGGGTCCCCCGCCTCCGGGACTGAGGGCCAGGCCCGCGTGCTCACCGGTCGGTGCTGTCTCCACGCGGGAAGCACACGGAGGAGCCCACAGCCCCTGGGAAGGAGGGCGCCGAGGGTTCGGGATGGGAGCTGTGTCTGCGCCGCAGAACGGCTTGTCCTGTCTGCACACCAGCAAGGGAAGTAGTTCTCCCCTTAGAACTTGACCCTCTTCTCTGCCTCCTTCAGGTGCTGTGCAAATGTTGTCAACTACGTTTATTGGATGCATTAAAATATTTGTTCCTTGCTGTTTATATCAACACAAAACCCGGCTTTCTTATCCCCCCAATTTCATCATGATCATGCTGTTTGTGGGTCTAATGAGGTAAGGAATCTGACATTTTGGTTGAGAGTTGAAGTTTTTTATGTGCATAAACTGTCTTTGCCGTCACTAAGTGGGAGACCAGCTGGTGATCACGTGTGTTTTCATTGCACGCTTTATATAATCATCAGGACCGTCTAGATATTAGGACGACAAATGTGTTGGTTCTGTGGATCTGGGTGCAATCAGGTTCTTTCTGGAACAGCCATGAGTGTAATTTAATAATGGTTTGAGAGACACGCCCTCCCCTCCCTGGGCCCGCTGCACCTTGCAGGTGGGACCTACTTCCCACAGGGCCCTTCACCTTCACCTTCATGGGAGGCGAGGAAGGTGGGGAGCAGGGGAGGAGGGCGGGGAGCTCCTCAGAAGGTCTGTTGTGCAGCTACAAATGGACTCCTCAGTCCTAATGACACTTTGGGCTTATTTGTAGGTTTGCGACGGTGGTTTTGGGTCTGGTCAGCCTGAAAAACGTGGCGGTTTCGTTTGCTGAAACAGTGAAGAGCTCTGCTCCCATCTTCACCGTGATTATGTCCCGGATGATCCTCGGGGAGCACACGGGTAAGCCCGCCTGGGTGGGGGCTGGGGCGCTACGCCAGGTGAACGGTTCCACAGCCCCCCTGGAACGTTCTCCTAGCCCGGTCATGAGTGCCTCACGAGTTCACTTCAGCAGGTGTTTGTTCACCTGGGCTGACGCACAGAGGCCTCTGGTTGGTGGGGACATGGGAGCTGGGGAAAGAAGTAATGGTCACTTGTCCCAGGAAGACCACCTTCCGTGTCATGCGAGGTGGCCCCTGGTGACACCCTTGTCCAGGTCAGCCACCTCCTGTGTCCTTCCCCGGCTCCTCCGACAGCCTCCCGTTCATCACTGCTTCTCAGCCTCACTTCTCCACCCTCCATGAGGCCCATCAAATCGGATTTATCCACAAATCCCAACCCTCAATGACCGGCAGACTGTTTCTGACTACACATCACACACACGTGTCCCCGTTTCTCCTGCCAGCCTTTTGAAACGCAGCCTGTCCAGTATCGTTCCGTGAAAATAACCAGAGTGCAGAATAGTGCGCATCTAGGAGCAGTACCGACACGAGTTTAGATGCAGATGCACATCTGTTTCAATTAAGAAAAGGACAAGATTAGGGGCGCCTGGGGGGCTCAGTCGGTTAAGCGTCCAATGTCGGCTCACGTCATGATCTCACAGTTAGTGAGTTCAAGCCCCAGGTCAGGCTCTGTGCTGACAGCTCAGAGCCTGGAGCTGCTTCGGATTCTGTGTCTCCCTCTCTCTCTGCCCCTCCCCTGCTTGTGTTCTCTCTCTGTCTCTCTCTCTCTGTCACTCTCTCTCAAAAATAAATAAATAAACTTAAAAAAATCTTTAAAAAGAAAGAAAGAAAAGGACAAGATCCCACAATAAGGCCGATGGGGGAGGAAGGACAGGGCTGAGCGCCCTCCCAGATGTGCCTCTGGAGCCCCACAGGCGTTTTAGGTTTGTGAGACCATCTGATCGGAGGGTAAACAGCAGCTCCTAGAAGTCATAAGCAACATGAAACAAACGAACTGGGTTTCATATCGAGCCGGTGGCTCAGCCACACTAAAAACTTTATTCCGGCAACTTTAAAATGCCACGATTTGGCCTCTAGCTGTGGCGGCTAAGCCTGTAGCGAGTCAGCTAGTTCCCTTAGCGAGGTCAACGACAACATCTTGGTGACAGTTAGCAAAAAGAATCAGTTGGGGAGAATGACCAAGGGACCAGGATTTCAGAGCCGAGGGTCACCTGCAGACGGGACCCCGATGTGTGGCGCCCTCCCCACAGAGGCATTTGCTGGTTCTCGAGCACTGGCTGGCACGCCAGGTAGACCAGCCTCGTGGGGCTGCAGGGCCGAGGGCAGGCGGGGCCTGCCAGCAGAGGGGGATCTCCGGCAAAGCCCTGGGCTCTTACCCTGGACCCCGAGCACGCCGATGCCCATGGACACCTCCCAGCAGCGAAAGCAAGTCCTTCTAAGGGTGAAACGGCACTCACGGCCACCGGCCCTCTAGGATCCACGCAGACCGTCTGTCACACAACACACATTGCCAGGCCGGCCAGAGGACAAGACCACGTGCAGAGCCGAGAGGGTGCTGGTGGCTCCCTAGGGACCTGAGTCTGGACAGCATTGTCCTGTGCCGGGAGGTGGCCTTGGTCTCCAAAGGTCAGCGTGGACCTCTTAACATGGAAGACTTTTTCCCTCATCTATTTTGAATTTCAGAGTAAACTAAATAATATCTGAAATCAAAGTACCTGGGAGGCCCCCCACCCTGTTCCCAAAGTGGCTGTGCCTTTCCATCATGCTCCACGGGCTTTTTTACCATTGGGTCACGTTTCCTGGATTTCAGAATGCAGCAGAGGAGTAACCTCCACTTAGAGTGAAGAACGCAGACCGTGTAGGGGTCTCCCTGCAGCAGGGCCCCCCGCCCCCAGCTCCCCTTTCTGACAGACTGGTCCAAAGACCATTCATCCACCCTCGTCATCCTCGGTGCTGGCCAGGGAGGGGCTTTGGGACCCGGGGCCCCAGCCTCATGCGTCCTGCCCCCCCCCCCCCCCCCCACCCACCCCGGCCCCAGGCCCAGCAGTCGTGCCTCGAGGAAGAGGAAGGGTCCGTGCGGTGCCTGGCTTGGGAGAGGGTGATGGCTTGGGGGCAGGCGTGCACTTTGATCCTCTGTGTTTCTCCAGTGTAAAGACTCAGTAGCTACATGTTTTCGAATTAAAGTGAAAGAGGCTTTCACGAGGGGCATAAAAATGGCCTCGCACCCAGAAGCGATGTTGCAGCGGGCAGGCTGGCGGCCGCAGCCCTTGTGTGTTTTGCCCTTTCCAGGGCTGCTGGTCAACCTCTCGCTCATCCCCGTCATGGGAGGCCTGGCACTGTGCACGGCAACGGAGATAAGCTTCAACGTCTTGGGGTTTTCGGCCGCGCTGTCCACCAACATCATGGACTGGTGAGTCAGGAAGAGCATGGGGACACGTGGTGTGATGGGGATGATGGACGTTGAAATCCAGATTGACTGAGAATTATGTCCCGTAATTCAGAGCCGGGCCCAACTGATGCCGCCTTTTCCTAAATACCAAAATACCTCGTATCCCAGTAAGGTAACCTTTTCTTAAAAAAACAGCCAGAATTTGACAATACATGGTCTTGGTATTAAGAACACACATGGTTAGCTAACGGAGGCCAAATGCACAGAGCTAGCGGGCCCAGGTAACGTCACAAGAGTAACGCCCCTTGTGAGTAACGTTACAAGAGTAACACCCCTTGTGAGTAACGTCACAAGAGTAACACCCCTTGTGAGTAAACACGTATGTGTTCAGCTAAGCCAAGTGGAAGAGGCCGTCCTACAGCGGGAACAAAGGGGCAGTTTCTGGCCTGGTGGCTGTCTGTGCCCCGAGGGCCGTGAGAGGCCGTCCCCACAGGGGAAGCCCGTGTCAGGTGCCCGAGGAAAAGCACCACATGGGAGGTTCCTTGTCCTACAGCAGGAAGGGGCTGGCTGTTGTGTTCTGGATCGCTCCTTGGATAGTGTACAGCTGCCATCCCGCATCCAGGCTGTGGTGTTGAAGTCCATACTTAGGCATCGGCCAGACCTGCTCTTTGAGAATTACCAGTTGCTTCTGGGGTCTGTCCTGTCTCTGGGAAAGAGAGGAAGTGACCACACGAATGTCCAGGAGTTTATCATTGCTTTACTGTTAAAGTCGGACAGCCTCACCCTGAGGTTTTCCATCCCACCACCAAGTAAACATTTAAAAGTCACCTTTAATTTCATTTCTGACACGCAGATGTATTTCCTTCTGGCTTTTTCTGCCTGCACTTATAGTTCCTAGAAATCGAATACAGGATCATCATGCATTCTGTGTGTATTTCTCCTCCAGTGGAAAGGCCCAGTAGCTGCTGGTTTTTGCATTAAAGTAGAGCGGCTTTCATGAGGGGTATGCTCTACTCCCTCTGCGTGACCCTGTGGGCATCGTGTGCTGCCACCAGGGGCTCTCAGAAGCCTGAACCCTGTGACCGCCTCCTCGTATGGCATACAGATGCCTGCGAGTTAACGAGTCTATTTAGATGCGCATGGAGCGTCTCTTCACATGAGGCTCCCATTTAGGTTTTTGACCATCACGAAGGCTAAATTCCCATCAGAGAGACGAGCCCATGACGTGGATCAGGGCTCTCGATCCTCACTGCCAGCGTTTCCCAAAACGATTGTTTTGGAGCAAGAGCTTCGCCTTCTGGAGCCCAGAGAGCAGTCACCAGTGGGCGTGCCAAGCCCTTTGGTTTCTGGGGAAGGTGGGCACAGTTTCATCTTCTCATTGGCCATGTGTGGGTTTTCCCTGTGGTTTGTCCCATTCTGGAGTTTTGTCCATATTTTTTCCACCAGAGTCTTCATGTGCTCAGACTATTTTGTTCACTCGCTCTCACACATGGAGTCCCCAGGTGCCCGGCCCATGGCAGTTACTGATTTATGGGAACTCTTGGTTCAAGGTGGGGTTTTGTGCAGCACTGAGAGCAGGGACTTTGGGATCCTTTGACACCTGAGAGCTAGGTAACGTCAGGTACATTGCTCAACCTGAGTGCCTCAGTTTACCCATCCATAAAGGGGCCAGGCCTGGTGACCCCCTCACAGTGAAGTGACATCCAGGAGCTCCCCAAGCATGGGCCCGGCTCACAGCGGACATCCAGGGGCCATCCCCGAGGGGCCGCCATCGTTGTCCCTGCTTAGGAAGGACGCAAACACTTGGTCCAGTCGAGGTCTGTGCTAACTTCTCGTATCGCCAGGTAACCTCTTCTTTTCTTTATTCTAGTTTGCAAAATGTTTTTTCAAAAAAGCTCCTCAGCGGGGACAAATACAGGTTCTCGTAAGTATCGTTAGCCCGTGAAACTCCCAATTTCGTAGGCCCGAGAGGACTCCCTGCCCTTTTGAAGTTTCAGAATCCCCCGTAGACCTGACACCTTTCCCCCTTCGGCTTAAGTGGCTTTTAAAAGTACTCTGTGGACGGGGCGCCTGGCTGGCTCAGTCAGAAGAGCCTGTGACTCTTGAGATCTCGGGGTCATGGGTTTGAGACCCACGCTGGGTGGAGAGATTACTAAAGAAATAAATAAACTTAAAAAAACAAGTAAGTAAAAGTGCTTTGTGGAAACTTGGAAGAAAAACCCCACCTGTTTTCAGCTGCCCTGCCAAGGCACCCCAACGGCCGGCTCGTTCGCGGCTGCCCTGCAGGGTGTGCCAGGCGCGCGGCCGGCAGGCACACGGGCCCTCCCTGGCGCCCGGGTTCTCTAGAGCATTCTCGCTGTGAACTGTCTGGTTGAAAGCCGGACTCCGCCGTGCAGAGAGAGCGTCAGGCATGTGTGTTGCCCCCGCAGGGCCGCGGAGCTCCAGTTCTACACCAGCGCGGCGGCCGTGGCCATGCTGGTCCCCGCCTGGATCTTCTTCATGGTGAGTGTCAGGGCGCCGCTCGGCACCCAGGCTGCCGTTGCCACCAGCCATCCGGGGGTGGAGGGGTTTCACTTGCCGGTCCCGTGGGTAGCTCCTTGGCGTGGTGGCTTCGTGGCATCGTTCACGAAGGCTCAGCAGGGTGCACTTGAGGAGGAGGGAGACCGGTGGGAGCCGAACCTGGTGCCCCAGGAGGCCAAGCCATAGCTGAGGGAATTTCCTGAAAATCTTTGTGTCAGGGTGTTTCGGCTTGCTCGTTTTAGTATTATTATTTCAAAGTCACGCGTGCCCGCCTAGAGCAATCAGCAGGGCAGGTGTACATGAACAAGAGAGGAGGTCTGTCTGGTGAGCCCTCCTGGACCCCCTCCTACAAAGCCCCTTTCCAGACGGGTCTGCGTAGCTAGGAATGTACTCAGGTACATGTGTGTCATGTGATCTCACCAGTCTTATAAAAGCGTATGTATCTGTCCAAGCAGACCTTTTTTTTTTTTTTTTTTTTAAACACAAATGGAACTGGGCTATTCTGTCCTATTCTTGTGCTCCAGAGCCCAGCTATGCCCTGATCTGTCACTGCCCCCTCGACAGACACCTGACTGCTTGGTGCATTTCACACGGAACTGGAAGTTTCTTGTGTCTTTAGCAGATAAAGGTGCTTTTCTTGGGAGGCACCTGGGTCAGTCAGTTAAGCGTCCAACTCTTGATCTTGGCTCAGGTCATGATCCCAGAGTCATGAGTTTGAGCCCCAGGTCGGGCTCTGTGCTGACAGTTTGGGGCCTGCTTGGGATTCTGTCTCTCCTCACTGCCCTTCCCTGCTTGTTCTCTCTCTCTCTCTCTCTCTCTCTCTCTCAAAATAAGTAAATAAACATTAAGAAATTTTAAAAACAAATAAATAAACTAAATTACCTTTTTTAAAAAAAGGTGGTTTTCTGGGATCCACTTTTGGAATTGGAATGATTGAAAGAATGTGTATATCTAAAAATATGTGTATTGTGGTAAAATCTATGTAAACGTAAAACTTATGATTCTAACCGCTTTAAACTATATGTCAAGTATGTTCAGGCTGTCACACAAGCATCCTCACCATCTATTTGTAGACTTTAATTATCTCAAACTGAATCTCAGTCTCTGTTAAACACTAACTCCCCATTTCCCCCCATAGGGGAAGCGAGACTCTACCTCTCCTCCTAGGGTGTCCGGCTGGACGATTCGCGGGGACAAGCCCACAGCCCGAGTAACATAAGCTTTATGTGACACGGGAGCCTCATAAAGAAGCCAAGACGGGAGCGCTCACGCGCCAGGCTGAGCAGGGAGAGGCGACTGCGGGAAAGTAGGCTGTGTGTGGGGTGGAGGCAGGTGAGGGCGACCTTAACGAGGTCCGCCGGGCTCGGGACCCTGGCAATGCGCGCGTTCCTTTCCCCCTGCTGCATGGGCGTCCTCCACGTGGGGCCTTTGTCCCTGCTTCTCAGGGAGAGAAAGGGACGCCAGAGCCCTTCTTGCTCCTGTGTTTTGAGGGTCTTCAGCTCAAAATAACCCTGATGCCAAAGTGGCGTATTTGTGAACTCCTTCACCCCTCCCCCAGCCCCTGGCATCTACCCTGTGCTTTCTGTCCCAATGGATCTGACGACTCTAGGTCCCTCATGTAAGTGGAATCCTATGGGATTTGTCCTTTGGGGACGGGCTTATTTCACTGAGCATGATGACCTCGAGGTCCATCCACTCTGTAGCAGGTGCTGGCATTTCCTCCTTTTTAAGGCTGGGTGATATTCTGCTGTGTGTTGGGACCACGTTTTGTTCATCCACCCGTCTGTTAACGGACACTTGGGTTCCTCCCACATTCTGGCTCTTGTGGACAGTCCTGATGTGAATGTGAACATGCACACACCAGTTCAAGACCCTGCCTTCAGTTCTTTGGGGCGTGTACCCAGAGGCGGGATTGCTGGTTCTTCTAGTAGTTCTCCGTTTAACTTTTTGAGGAGCAGTCAGACGGTTTTCCACAATGGCTGCACCATTTTACATACCCACCAGCCGTGCTCAGGGCTTCAGCTGCCCCACATCCTCGTCAGCACTTGTCATTTTTATTTATTTTTTAATTTTTTTAAATTCTGTTTATTTTTGAGCAAGAGACAGAGTGTGAGAAGGGGAAGGGCAGAGAGAGAGGGGGGACACAGAATCCGAAGCAGGCCCCAGACTCTTGAGCTGTCAATACAGAGCCCAACGTGGGGCTCGAACTCAGGAATCGTGAGATCATGACCTGAGCGGAAATCAGACACTTAACCGACTGAGCCAGCCAGGCGCCCCTGATTTTTTGTTTTTGGTGGTAGCCATCCTGATGGGTATGAGGTGGTCTCATCGTGCTGTTGATTTGTGTTTCCCTGATGATCGGTGATGTTCAGTGCTTTCTCCTGTGCTTATTGGCCACATGTACATGCATGTTGAAAATGTTGGTAAGCGCTATTTGGTTGTCACCCTAGAAGGCTATTTTCAGAGCACTCCTCAGCATCAGTTCGTTTACCCAGATTACTGGGCACGCGCTTTTCTGACGGTGATCAGTAGAAGGAAGACAGGCACCCGCAGAGCACCATTTCTGTTCTGCGCATAGGACTTGCCAGTGATTGGGAGAAGTGGGAAGAGCTTCAGTTACAGTCAGGACATCCTGTTGCTGCTGATGATGGACGGCGTCCTGTTCCACCTGCAGAGTGTCACGGCCTATGCCCTCATGGGCAAAATCTCCCCCGTCACTTTCAGGTAAGCACAGTGACTTCCCAGGAGACAAGGTGTGTCCAGGTCATTTACAGAGGAGAAGAATTTAAATCCAGGTGTTTTTACAAAAGGTATTTATGATTGTAAAATGCTAGTGTGAGGACTGTGGCCACATGTCGTGATTCCCAGGCTGTTTTGTCTTGGTGCTGCTTGAAACACAGCAAAGTTCACGAAATCCCCACCAGGAATCTACACGTTAGCACAGGAAGTGTTTGGAGTGGTTCAAGTATTTTTCCGTGGGGAACAGCATGTCCGTGGACTCGCCTGTGAAGCTGGAATGTTCGCTTCTGGGCTGTCCGGTGGGGGAGCCGTGTGCCTCAGGCGGTTCACCTGAAGTGTGGTGAGTGCAACAAGAGACGGAATTCTTAATTTTATCTCATTGTAAGCGATTTAAAATTTTTTCAATGTTGATTCATCTTTTGAGGGAGAGAGACAGTGCACAAGTGGGGAGGGGCAGAGAGAGACAGAGATGGAATCCAAAGCAGGCTCCAGGCACCGAGCTGTCAGCACAGAACCTGACCTGGGGCTTGAACCCACAAACTGTGAGATGGTGGCCTGAGCCGAAGTCAGATGCTTAACCGACTGAGCCCCCCCAGGTGCCCCTTAAACGAGTTAAATTTGAGGAGCCACACATGGCCGTTGGCTCCCGTGTTGGAGGCACACCTCCGGAAACTGAGAGGTGAGCCAGAGGCCTCACTGCCTTGTCTTCATTTTTGTAACTGGAAAAGTTCAATGAAAGCGCCATTTCCAGACGGGACGTTTTCAATAACAAGCAGAAAAGCGTGAGCTAACGCCTCCGGCGGCCTAGAAGTCTATTCTTTGCCCACACCGTGTCGTGTAAGTTAGCGGGCCTTACTTTCTCTAACTTCTGAGCTGGCCGAGAAGTGGCCTGATGGAACCACACTGCCTGGAAGGCTTGTCGAGCCGTGCCAGCCGTGTTTCTGTCTCCCCACGGCCTCTCTGACTGGCTCTCGCTCCTCCTGCCCACGTCGGTCTGGCCCAGGTCAGCACAGCAGCCGTGCCCCGCACTGGTCACATTCTGCAGCTCGGAGGTCCAAGGGCAGCACCGCCACACGCGGGCACCGGTGGCACCAGCGCGGTGCCCTGGCCTGCGACCCGTGCAGCCCTCACATTTCCTGGGTCTTGAATGGGGAGGGTCTGCAAGAATGTTGAGAATGGCCGTGATTTTTAAGTTCTTCTGAAGCGCATGGTGGTCACTGTCTCTGTCACATGCCCTGGTTTCTGTTCGGAGCCGGGGATTATTTCCAGATAGTCCCGAAACCTTGTTTTTCAGTGATCCTTAGTGATGGTTCACAAAAGGCAAAAAGCAGAAAACCAATTCTTTAAAAAAATTTTTTTATGTTTATTCATTCTTGAAAGACAGAGAGACACAGAGCACAAGCAGGGGTGGGGCGGAGAGAGAGGGGGACACAGTATCTGAAGCAGGCTCCAGGCTCTGAGCTGTCAGCACAGAGCCCGATGCGGGGCTCGAACTCACAAACGGTGAGATCATGACCTGAGCCGAAGCCGGGCACTCAACCGACTGACCCACCCAGGCGCCCCTAATTCTTTTTAAAGCAAATAGGTTTTTTTGTGGTTTATTCATATCATAAGAGCAATAGTTACTCATTATAGGAAATTTGGAAAAGGCAGGACCGTTCCAGAAATAAAGCAGAAGTCATCGTCACCCCAAAACACCAGCACTATTAACTTTCCAGTGTGTTTTGCACTAACTTCATTGTTACGGGCTCCAAGCCTCGAACGCAGTGCTGTCCTTACCATAGGTGTGCACAAAGCGCTCTTGTTCTTTAGACGGCAAGCTGAGCTATTTAGGAGCAAAATGTCATCACGTCTGTAATTTGCTTAAAAATAATTCACTCCAAAAAAAAAAGGATGAAGCAAGTAAAGCGAAATGTTAATTAAGTCTAGAAGATGGGAATAATGGCTGTTCATTATAGCATGTCCCTGCTTTTCTGTTTGACATTTTTGCTAAGGACCAGAAAGCAGGAGGGAGCCAGCGAGGGAGCCCCGGGCCTGTGCCGGCTGGGCAGCGGGCCGAGCCCGGGCCGTAACCCCCTATCGTTGCAGTGTCGCCAGCACCGTGAAGCACGCCTTATCCATCTGGCTCAGTATTATAGTGTTTGGCAACAGAGTCACCAGCCTGTCGGCCATCGGCACCGTCCTAGTGACGGCTGGCGTCCTGCTCTACAACAAAGCCAAGCAGCGCCAGCGGGAGGCCATGCAGAGCCTGGCTGTGGCCGCCAGCCCAACGCCAGAGGACGAAGCGGAGCCACTGACCCCCAAGGACCCCAGACCACACCACTGAGCTCTGGAAGCTGCGGCAGGTGGCCAGGGCCCCCAAGCCGCTGCCCACTGCTGCTGTTCCCCTCACCGACGCAGACACCCGGCCTCCTTGGGTCAGTGGGGTGCAGGAGGCCACGGGACGGGCCGCCTTCGCTGCTCCCATTTCAGGTTTTCAGTGAAAACCAGTGGGAGCTTGAACGGGGATCCCAGATGTCCGCTTCCTGGGGTGGAGACCGGAGCCAGCTGCCGCTGAGCCACGGCCAGATAATGTGAAATCTGCCTCCTGCTGACCCTGTGCTGAGCACTCGCAAGGGGGTGGGACTTCCAGATGGCCTCTGCACCCCCGCCACCGGCTTGCAGGTCTGGTTGCAGTTAGGCCACGCCCTCGTTCTCTGTGTGTGACAGCTACTGGGGACCCCTGTGAAGTGACAGCTGGATCCGGGTGCCAACGCGCACTGCTCCCCGCTGCTCGGTGCCAGCACAGAGAGCTCAGCTCCCCCTGCTCGCCGTCAAAGGCCCGTGAAGGCACACTCTGCTCCTGGGCCGTCTGGGGAGACTGTCATGCTAAGAGAGGGCCAAGGCGCCCACGGCCTGGGCCGGAGGCCACAGCAGCTGAGTGCACAGGGCTAGGAGAGTGGAAAGGGATCAGACGGGCACAGAAATGAGGGTCCCTGCTCCTGTGGGCAGGATGTTGGGCCCTTGCCTTCCTGCCCCAGAGCTGCCAGCATCCAGCACCACTTAGGGAAAGGTGCCCCGCCCCTTTCAGGGTCTCCACCGCACTAGGCCCTCCACCTCCCGAGAGTCCCAACCCTCACCTGTGGCTGGCGCTTCAGTCAGGGACCCCCGATGTGGTGATTGCTGGTCACAGAGGTAGAGGGCAGACATCTGTAGTGTTTAACTCAGGATGGGGACATACTGACCTTCCCTTTTGTTTTCTGGGCCTTTGTGTGTAACAGAGGCTGTTCTGAAGGGTTCCCTGCAGGTGCCCCTGCCATCACTCACCTGGTCGGGAGCCACGCCATATTTTGTCTCAAGCACAAGGGTGTTAAGGTTTTCTCTCATGAATGAATGAGCAGGTGGAGTGCCGGGAAGATCTTTTGGAGTGTTTATGGCTTTTGTCACACTGCATTTAAAATGACTGTGAAGGTGTTAAAGAAGAAAACCCAGGCACGGGTGGCTTCTGGAAAGCACCCTGTATGGCAAGTAACCCGTACTGAACCCACAGCCTGGCTCAGCCTGGCTCTCCCCTCCCAGAGCGATGGACCCACCACGCTGGGTATCTGAGCCCTGTGTCGGGTTGAGGCTCCTGACCTCTTCACCCTATTCCTCTTCCCACATCCTGGTGGGGTTTCTGATCGGGGCACGTCCGCTGCCAGCCGGGCTTTAACACCTCTCCGTGGCACCAGGTTCAAGCTCTGGGGTGTGTCATGTGCAGCCCAACACAGAGGATGAGGTTGGCCACACGGCTGTCTGGGGCCTGCCTGCTGCAGCTGAGTGAACCAGCCGACAGGAGCGCTTCAGGCACTGGTGGTTCCCTCATCTGATTTCCCCTCCCTGCCGTTCAGGTCCTTGGTTCCCATTATCTTTTCACTGGTTTTCCAGTTGACCGGTCAACTGGAAAGTATATTAAAAAAGGCCCTCCTGGAGATCAAATCTCTTGGAAACAAAGAGCAATAATAAGTCTCATTAAGTTCTGCCTACTTGAAAAAGTTTGCCATGATGATGGGTTAAACTGAGGCCTTTAAAACTGTAACCTTTCTATGAAGCTGACTTCCTATGTCCAGAGCACAGGCAGGGGTGTGCTCGCCCGCACGCCACGCTCACCTCCACTGTGAAGACGTTTCTCCTGAGACTTTCCCCAGGTTTCTATCCCTTCCTCTCTCCTTCCTCCACAAAAAACACCGAAGAGTACTTGCTGGAGGCGGCTTGGGCAGCGGGATGTGCTGGGTCTGTGAGGCCCAGTGGGAAAGGACAGCTTCCAGAGGGCCCTGCCTCTGCCCTTAACAATGTGGCTGCTGTGGCCGGCTGTGGCCAGCTGCTGACAAGATGTGAGCAGAGAAGGAGACACGTCTACGGTCATCCTGTTGCAAGATTGTCACGTTGGCCTTCTCACAGACGTCCTCATCCAAGTAACCAGGTAGGCGGCACCTGCTTCTGAGCCTCATTAGGGACCCGGGTCCGAGTCTCTTCTGGAACCAGCGCCCTGCACACCACATGTGCCCCGCCTCCTGTCACAAGTGGTTTTCTGCCGGTTTTGATTTTCCAAATTCTTGGACCAGAAACAAAATGAAGATTTCTCCAAATTATTAGTAAATGAGGTAATTTCCAACAAAGCTGCTTTTGAAACATTTCCTAAGAACCCAAGCTGTGGCCAGCACTGCCCGTGCCTGGGGCTTACATTCCTTCTTTGTATGGTCTCCACCCTGAAGCCGTCCGTGTCCTGCATGTCTGGGACAACCCTGCCAGGAGACAAAACACGGCCTGTCGTGGCCGTTTGTTTAATGAATGTACAGACATACGTTTTTTATTAACTTTGTGTAGTAGTGTTTATAGTATGTTTATAATACATTGCAAACATGCTTGTGTCATTGTCACTTACACGGGTCATTTCCTATGTCCATGGTCATTGTCTGTGCCTTTGTAAAGAAACACTTCAAACAGGTGTCAGGTCGGGTCGGGTCGATACCTTACCTACGTGGATACTTCTAAATATACATGTATCTGACTTTCAAGGAAACTTCCACTATGAGTGGCATAAAAACCTTGGGTTTGTTTTTTTTTTTTCCCGACAGTCACAGTTGCATGTCATCGTTAAAATGATCTGCCCTGGAAAGCTGAGAACATTCTTGCACAATCCAAAAATGTGTCTTTAATTTGAGAAAAAGAGGCATGGTGAATCCAAAGCGGTAAAATGCACAGAGTATCAAACGAAGTTGTGCTTGTAGCCCATGCCGGAGATTCTTTGCCCAAAACCAGTGGGTTTTTGCCTGTGAACGGTCACTTGGACAGACCAGTAGGTTTGACAGACGCATATCATGGCTTTTTACATCTGTCTGAGTGTCGTGCTTTCCTAAGGCCTGGAGCATTTTCAGTTTCCCTGGGTTGGAAAAATTAATCAAGGACGCTACCGCAGATAGAATTCTTTTGCCTTTGACCGTCATACTAAGGGCTTTACTCTTTCACAAAATCCGTACATGCTCTGGCTGCGGCGTCTTCATTTCCTTAGTTTACAACTATAAATGTCCCAGCCCCCCTGGTCAATCTGCCTGTTTCCCTGTGTCCTGGCTGGTGAGCCAAGAGCAGAGGTGAGGTTGTGCTGACCACCCTCCGGCTCGGGTGGGAAACCTTCGATTTTGCTGTCCTTGAAGAGTTTCTTCCAGTTTTCCTGAGGGTTCTGATTCTGAGTTTGATGGCCACTGGATCCGTGCCCAGATTTCCAAACAGAGCTGGAAACTGTCCTAACTGGTAGAATCTTTCGTTGTCTTTTTTGTTTCTGTTTCATTGGAGTAAAACCTGCATTCACCTGATTGGCCGTTTCTAGTCTTTGCAGATGTGCGAGCGGAGTCTGAACCTGCCCAGGGGGTGT